ACCAGGGCCCTACTCTGGTTTGTTGTTGTTTTGTTTTGTTTGGGCTAGGCAAGTGACTTGCCCAGAGTCACACAGCTCAGAAGTGTTATGTGTCTGAGGCTACATTTGAACTCAGGTCCTCCTGAATCCAGGGCCAGTGCTCTATCCACTGCGCCACCTAGCTGCCCTGAAGGGCCGTACTCTGAAAAATTACTTTGTGCATATTTTGTTTTCAGTTTTCTATGTTTTCAATTTCTATGCCCCCCCCCCCAAAGAATACAAGGCCCCTGAGGTCAGGACAGCCACATTTTTGCCTTTGTATCCCCAATGCCTATCTCAGTGCTTGGCATATAGTAGGCAATTAATAACTACTTGTTGAATTGGATTGAATAGAAGCAGTGGAGCTCCATGGGGTTTTTGTGCCCTTCTCCCTGTCCCACCTGTAGGTAACCTACAAGTGTCTATGTTTATTCCCACTCTAGTTACTAACTTGGCGTGTGTCTAAGAAAAAGTCACAACTTTCTGTGCTTCCATTTCTTCTACCCACAAAGAGGGACTACAATTCTAATCACCTCCTGGAGTTCACGGAAAGAATTTAATCAGAGAGGCTGAAAGGAGCCTTAGAACATAGAAAGTCAGGGCCAGAAAGGACCTTAAGAACAGAAAACATCACAGCCGGAAGGGACCTTAGAAGACAGAATGTCAGGGCTGAACCTAACATTAGAACATTAAAGAGCAGAGCTGGAGGAGGTCTTGGACATCACCAAGTCTAAATGATTCATTTTACAACTAAGGGACTTGAGAGAGATTGTGGCATAGTGGAAAAAGACACTAGATTTAAGGTCAAAGGACCTGGGTTCAATTTCCAATTCTGCCTCTACTACTTGTGACCTTGGTCAAATCACTCTACTTCACTTCCCTGGGCCTCAGTTTCCTCATTTGCAAAATAACAGAGTTGGATGAAGTGACCTCTAAGGTCCCTTCCAGCTCTATATCTAATATCCTATGACTAGATGTCCCTTCTAGCCATAAATCTATGTTCCTACTTGTTCAAGGTCACACAGTGACCCTTTAGTGGCAATGCTAGGATCAGAATCCAGTTCTTCTGATTCCTAGTATGGTGCACTCATCAAAGACTAAGCCGAACCTAGACTGGTCGGCAGGATTCAGACAAAATTGTACTGCCAGGGAATGGGACTTGACGTGCCTCAGCTTCGTCTCATGTGTAGAGCTCCCAACAGTATTCCTTCCTCCTGGCAAGACAGGATGCCTCTCTTGGTAGGAAAGACCTCAGATAGGCACTACAGACCAGTAGAGCATTGCTTTGGCAGAATACCATGTGAAAACTGTCAATGTCTGGTTCACACAAGGACTATTAGCCCCCTGTCTCCACCCATAGAAAGTTTATCCAATAAAATTCAGGAGAGAAAAGAACATGTCCTGTTTTATGTCTCTCTTGTTGTAGGCAATGCACATCTTGGAGATCTGTGGATGAAAGGCACCATATAAAATGCAATCAATTATGTATAACCATTACTGAATTAATCACATGTATGATTAATACAGTAATAATAATTAATGGAAGTATGGTCTAGAGACTAGAACAGTGGACTAGTGGGGAGGAGTCTAGGATTCTGCTTTTCCACTCTGCCATTGACTTGCTGGGTGACCTTGGGAAGGTCTCCTGAGCTCTTTGTGTCTTGGAAAATTTTTCTCTCAGTCCCCCACACCTTGGAAATTAGTATAATGGCCCATCTATGCTTTGAAATTCATGGAAAGGACCTAGTAAGAGTAAAGACTGTTGCCATAAATAAGCCTCAGAATCTCAATTGCTTAAGGTCAATGAAATAGGGACTATAGATTTAAAATGAGCAAGGCAATTATAATTCAAGTCAACAAACACTTGGTAAGTACTGCCTGGGTATAAGACACAAAGTCCTTCTTACATTTTCATCAGCATTTTCTCGTATGCCCCCAGAAGGAAGGGATCTAAGGAAACAGCTCTAACACAGTGGAAAGAACACTGGATTTAGAGTTAGAAAATTGGGTTCAAATCCTAACCCTGCTAATTCCTATCTGTGTGATGTGGGCCCCAGTTAGCGGTGTGTGGAGGGAGTGGGGGTGAAATTGATGGTACTTTCCATAAGGTCCTCTGTGGCTCTAACTTTCTACATGTTCTAAGGCTCTTTCTGGCTTCTTTGATTAATAGCAGTTATTCTCATTAACTCTAGCGCATAATTGCAGGGGGGTTGGACTAGATAATCTCTCAGATGCCTTCCAGTTCCAAAGTTACTATGTTCCTAGACTGTTCACTCACTTTGTACCCTAAACTGCCAAAATCATTTTTGAATGTGAATTCCATGTCTTCCACTTGAAGCAAATTGTGCAAAAAATACAAGATCATAGTAACTGAGAGACTGATTCTACTGGTTAGCAAGAAAACAGCAGAAATTTTGGGAGGCATGTTAACAATTTCTGGCCCCTGTGCTGCTATCGAGTGACTTCATTTCAAAGCAGAAGTAATTACCATAAAGCTCTTTAATTGACCAAATGGGTTAATTTACCTCCCAAACAGATAAACTGAGTACCCGTTCACCAAAAAGACCAGGATTATGATTTCTTTTCTCCATCATTACTAAGGGACCCTGTTAGGCACAATGAGCAATAACTATAGTGAAGCAGGGATCTGCTAACCATGTCCTATAAAGAATTTTCTTCTCATTTAAGGAGAGGATAATCTCAGTCTTCAGATGTTCGAAGGTCTGTCATGTGAAATTATGGAGAAGTGATATAAAATATCATGAGAGAAATGTATAACTGGACAAAAGATGGGCTGTTCATACTGAAAGAACAAGGTAGTACCTACTGGAAGGTCAATGTATTCCACTGCTCAAGAAAACTTGAGGAAGGCTCCCAGTACTTGAATGGATACCTTGTGGGGGATTTATGGGAGGATGTGGACAAGAGACAAACAGGATAGATAGATAAGCATGACTTTTGATCTCCATCATTGGAGGAAGTGCCCCCATTGATAAAAGATCACAGAACCAGTGCAGTATTGGCTGGAGCCTTGTGAAAATAGGATTCAATGTTTATTTTGTGTGTCTTCAGAAAGTAGAACGATGACTGAGCAGTAGACAGGCTCACTGTAAGGAGATTTCTAACAATTAGAACTGATCAACAATGAAATAGGCTACCCCCAGGAGATAGTGAATTTTCCATCACTGTGGGTGTACATGGAGAAACTATATGACAATCCATCAAGGATATTGGAGAGAATTTCTGCATCTGGTGGGAGTTTGCACTAGATAACCTCTGAGATCCCTTCCAATACTAGGATTCAATGAGTTTATGAAAATTTTGGTAGTTTTCTAAAGGCTGCTGTGGTATCCTATCAATTTATAATAACAGAATACTAGAGCTAGAAGGGACCTTGGAACACAGCATGATAGGAAGGACCTTAGAGACCATGTAGAAAAAACAAAACAGAAACCTTCCAGAGTATTTGGATGAGGAAACAAGAAGGCAAACTATTCATTCAGAAGCCATTTTGCGGTCAGTTCACAACAGTTGGGAAAAGAGAATATTTTGGGGGATATTGCCACAGCATTGCATTTTGACCTGTTGTCAATAAGAGATCAGCTCTGATCCTTTTGCTACTGTGTTTAGATGAAATGGAAATAAAATGCAGACTCTTCTAGCCCTTGTTTGCTGTTCCTGACAGCCGGGCAGACCATGATGATGGAAGAGCAGGGTTTTTCCGGGGATTAATGATTCTGCCTGGGAAGAGAAAAGAGGCTGAGGGGACCTCAGTCCATCATTTCTTTTGGGAAGTGTCTTGAACTATGCCCCCCATTTTTTTTACTACTGTGTAGTCCAAATATAATGAAAATATTTTTACCATGAAAGTTGCATCCATTTAAGAAGGTTGTGAGGCACTAGATTGGGTGACTAAGGGATATGCAAAAATCAAAATCAAAATCCTCAAAGGTTTTTATTGGAATAGGTACTTCTTGAAGATGTTTTTCTGTCTTAGAGCTGAGGAATGGACAAAATGTCCACTAGAGCATTCTTTTCATAGGTGTATTCTCCCTGGAAGGAGGGCATTGGAATCACCAATGCCATTTTAAAATGGAAAAGTAAGGCTTTGAAAGGAATTGTGATGTGTCTAGGGTTAACTAGCAAGTCAGTGACAAAGCAGGGGCTTAGAATGCAGAAACCTTGACTCCGAGGCAGTGTGCCGACCCGTGCAACAAGTGAGGCTTCATAATTCTACAGCATGTAGGTGATATTTCACAATAGGCCTTAAAATAGTACTTGGGGGTGTAATATTATTTTTCAAGGATGAGGAAACAAGAGCAACTTTGTGAGTGGGAACAGGAAAGGGTTAAAGTGGAGAAACAGTAGGGGAAAGGGCTTGTAATTCTTCCTGCTTACTCTCTGCATCTAACTTGACCTTGGACTAACTGTCTTATTGTTTCAGCATCCCAGTATCTCCTTTCTTTATGAACCTGAATAACAATGATAACTTCCTTTGAGATATTCAGATCTAAACCCATCCAGTAGAGTTAAGGAGCTATGAATACTCAGACAGCCTCCTAGAAGTCCCCTCTAGAGGACAGAGGAAACTCCTTTTCAACCCACAGAAAAGCTGTACATCAGAGAATCTCTCAGGGGCTGAAGAACTGTGATTTGCCTTAACTCATAAACTCTCAGAGGGTCCCCCTGGTTTCTCTCCCAATCCCCGAAGAAGTTCTTCATCGACCCCATCTCTCTGCCAGTGAGGGTAGGTGCGATGACACCTTTTTGTAGCTACACACCAATCCCCCTACTCCTCCCGTGGAAAAATCTGGCTTGGCTTAATCAAAAACAGATCCCATCAGGGTGGAGGCGTTCATGTGTCAGCTGATATTCAGTCTCTGGTTATTTGCTCAGTTCTCCCCCCCCCATCTTCCCAAATCCACCCACCCACCCCTTTCTCCACTGCTCTGGTCCTTATGTGTAGCGCTGAAGGAGAGAAAGAAGCCTTCTTGGATGTTAGAGGGGAGCCCTCCGAGCTGACTTCAGAGATCAAGGCTTTTCCTGGCACCCTGTTTGGGTTTAGATGGGGGCAGCTCCCACTCCCACGGGCCCTTTGCCAGCTCAGTGGAGCCCCTTCTGCTACCCAGAGGAAAAGAAGGCTGCAAAAAAATTCCAGCAAGAACAGTGGCTTATTCCTCAAACATTCATGACTAAACTGAGCTAGGGATGCGCCCTGTTTGTATTGGTGAGCTTGCCCCCAGGCCCAAGAAAGGAGATGTTTAACCAACTAGCCCTCAGAGCAGCCTCGCTTCATCACCAGCCTACTGCCGGGACTAGGGCACCTCACTGGCCCTGGACCACCCTGCTCTCAGCGTTCCCTCCTTTGCTGCGGCTCTTCCCCTGAGTCTGGCTGTATTTCTTTCCTGCAGCTTTAAGAAGACCATTGCTCCGTGGTGGGATGGTGTGTTAAAGCCACACAGAGGAAGTTACGCAGCCTGGATCAGACAGTGAGATAAAAGCTCCGATTGTGATTGAAAGTGATGGCAAAAGGATTTAGCCTCAGTATTAACTTGGAGAGGAGTGGAGGGGGAGAGGGAGAGGGAGATTTCCTAAAGCTCCCAGCCATCTGTCCTGGAGCTCAGCTGGGGGGATGCTGACCGTCCTAGATGAGAAGAGGTGAAACCCACCACAACCCAGGAAGGACCAGATCCCAACCACTGTGGGTTCTTTCTGTGCTTCTTTTCAGGGAGAGAGGGGGAAACAAAAGTTTAACTTGTTTGTGACCGACCTCCGACTCCACCCGAGTGGGAGGTGCGGGCAGGCTTGCCTGCCCCCCTCCCCTCATCCAGCGTCTCTGGGACGGCTGCAGGCAGCTCCACATGCATCCTGATTGCTCTCCAACCCCAAACTAGCAGCAGTAGCAGCAGCAGCAACAGCAGCAGCAGCAGGAGGAGGGAGGAGAAAGGACCAGCTTTCACCCCTACATCCCCCTCACCCACCCAGTCAACAGTCAGAAGAGAGGCAGAGCCCAGAGGGGGTGGTGGTGCTTTGGCTGGCTGACTGACCTGCGCTCCTCGGTGGAATCTGTCCGTCCCTCACTGCGCCTGTTAGAGAGGCTCCAAGCCGGGTAAGGCGGAGAGGAAGAGAGAGAGAGGGAGAGGGAGAGAGAGAGAGAGAGAGAGAGAGAGAGAGAGAGAGAGAGAGAGAGAGAGAGAGAGAGAGAAGAGAGAGAGAGAGAGAGAGAGAGAGCAAGTGGGGGGGGAGAGCTGCTGCAGCTTCGCAAGGCTGGTTTCATTTTAAAAGGGCTCCAGTGACCATGCAGGCTTTCCCCATGATCGCGCGACGCTTAAAGCAACCCAGTGAATTATCAGATGTAAAAGTTATTTAGCAGCGTCTTCTACTAGGAGAGAACTGGAGTCTCTCCCTTAGAGGGGTGTGTGTATGTGTTTGTAGCAAGATCTTAAAGGAGAAGGTTTTCTTTTTAGCTATCTTGTAAGGGACTGGGGTTGTTATATTGCCCTATTCGGATTTGGGGGTTTTGTGTTTGTTTTGTGTTTGTCTGAGCGTGTTAGGGGAGGATGTCTTGCATATATCAGTCTGTATTCCTGTGCAAAAATAATTAACCCTTCATTTGCTTACGATCCCTCCCCTCCAATTTAACTGCCACTTGGGAGGGGCAGAAACAATACTCTCTTCTCACTCCCTCCTTATACTTCCCCATCCAGACTGCAGACTGCTGACTGTCAAGTTGCAAAGAGCGCTTTCTTTGCAGACATGACTGGGAAACTTCTGTCCTGGGTCGGACTCTGCCTTCTAGAAACAAGGATGGGTAGGTGGGTGGGTGTGTACTGATCGGGGACAATGTGTGAAGGAGAACAAGGATGTCTTGGGGAAGGCAAGGGAACAGCGAAGCTTTAGCTGCAAGTTGCTTGCATTCCCAAAGCTTGCCCAGAAGTTGTTTGCTTAGATGTTGGTGCAGCTGCTTTTTTTTTTTTAATGGTTTTATGCTGGCGAAATGGAAGGAAAAAAAAGATGCAACTAATTACTAGGGGGTTTCGAGTGTAGTCTTCTAATTAAAGGAGGCGATGCCAAATGAGTAGGGCACCCTCAGTGCTGGCCGGTGCCAGAGGTTTTATTAAATGCATTATTATTAATTAGTAACGTAGCCTGCACACAACTTTCAATAAAATTTGCCTTAGAACTGCTCAAAATTAGCCCATTTTTCTAATGTAGGCAGCTTGCATTCCGCGATCAGTTGTAGTATGGTCCTTACTTAACTCCAGCCCTGCCGAAGTCAATTGCCCGCGGCCACCGACTGGCTCCCCTCACCTGCTCCTAGCATCCACAAAATGGGGAGAAAGATCCCTTCAAAACAGCCCAAAACCCAAAGGGACTTCTTGTGCAGGGGCTTCTCCCAACTTTGTGCCCTAGAGAATTCACCTTTTTTAAAAAGAAGCGATTACATTTCTCAACTACCCATAACTTTGTGAGTAGTCGGACCAGGCAGGGAGCACCTTGGCTTTAACCCCTGTTTTCGGATGTCCTGCTTACTCGACCATCAGCTTAGGAGTCAGAGCCGAGTGAGTGCTCGAGAGTGCGGTGAAAAGATACCAGTGAGGAGAAGCAGCCGCCCACCTCCAGCCACGAATGTTTGATGGGGCGAAGGGAGGTGGCGGAGAGGCAGCAGACGCCGCCGGCTGGGAGGTCACCCACCTGGCCTCTGAGCTTGGCGCTCCAGTCTTCGTTTCTTCTTGCCTCCTGCTGTACAATTTTGCAGGACCGCTCGCTTTCTCAGGCCGTCTTAACAGTAGTCTCCCAAAAAGTGTGTGTCTTGGGCCGGGGGCTGAGAGGGGTGGGATCACGCCGAGGAAGGCAGTTGGGGATGACAAGTGGACCGGATCCTGTCACCCCAAGGAGAAGACCCTTCTAAGAACAGTGCATCGGGACCTGAGTAGCTGCTCCAAGTTTACTTATTGTCACTGGAGCTGTCTGCAACTCCGAGTGTTGCCTCTCTGAGATCTCAACCAGACAGGGGCGATAATTCTATACAATAGAAATCTCAGTTCAACTGTCCTGGTAAAATCTAATTTGGTGTGTACCCCTCCCCCATTACCCCTCCCTCTACCGCCTCTCCCGCCCCCCCCCCCCGCTTTGCTTCTCTAAGACTCTTAAACGAAAATAAAGAACATTAATTCTATTTGTTTCCGAGAGCTGCAATTTCTTAATAATAGTAGATGGAGATTTATTTTCCAAGGAGAAAGCAATCTACCAGAATGAAACCTCTGATTATGAATATTTTTCCCTCTCGTTTCCCACCGCCTGATTTATGCTTCATTATTCAGAAAACTCTGGTGATCTTTTTTGGTATTGTTGTTTTGGCAAAACCAAGAGTAATTATTAGAGTGCTGAAATCATAATCCCCACCCCAACCCCCATGAAGTCTGCAAATTCCCACTTGATTGACTGATTTAAATATGTTTCACAGGCAGATTCTGTTGTTGTCTCTCCCTCTCTGCCCCCCCCCCCCATTTTCTGGGGAATGTGTGGCATTTAAGCCAACAGAACTGAGGAGCAATTAATAGATATTTCAGTTTAGCTCCACATAGCTCTCCACTGCCTTTTCTCCCGCCGCCAGCCTCACACTTAAACATAGTCTTTCTGCCAGTAATGCCGATGAAAGCGATTGTGTTCTGCAGGTTAAGGAAAGGAATCCTTAAAGCTAACACCATGTCCAGGCCAAGGAGAGCAAGAGAGACAATTGTTTCTGGCTGGACTCAGTTCTGAGCTCTACCTGTCTCTGCTGTTCCTGAACAGTTGGAAGTCACCCATTTGATGAATTAATTAGGAAGGGGCTGTTTTTGGTGAACACAACAACAGCTCTGATATCAGCATTCAGACCTTTGCCTGTCACACACTATTTTATTTTTACTACATTTACTCATGCTGTAAAAATAGAACACAGACGGTATTCTTTCTGAGAGTTTTCTATCAGGGAGCGCATTCAAGGCCAGGCGAGCTAGCTGTAGCACGGGCTTTCCCTCTGAGCAGCACAGAAAGATGAGGATGTTTTAGGTTCTCATTCATCTCCATCAGGAGCCCTTCATCCTGAGAGAAGGGGAAGGGGGAAAGGTTAATACAGATGTATGAATGCCCGTGAACAGGGATCAATGGGACTACAATTTAGGGCTTCACCCAAGATCTGATAAGCCAAGTGCTCAATCTGGATTGAGCAAAAATGGCTCATCCACTTTGTCATCTTTGGCAGAGGGTATGTGAGTGAGTGTGTGTGTATGTGTGTGTGTGTGTGTGTGTGTGTGTGTAACAGGAAATTATGGAAATTTATTAACTCTTCAGGCTTCTTCTTAGAAAATTGCCCTTCCTATTTCTGTTTTTGGAGATGTGTAATGGGGATCAGAACAATGGTTCACCATCACCTTTGGGGTAGTTCTGATGTCATATTTAACAAAATAAGAAACAATAAATAATAACTCATGAATCTGGAGTTAATTCATCATAAAGAGACTGGATCTATTGGCTAAGTACATTACAGAGGTCTGGTTAATTTGGCAAGTGTCCATTTAGTACTACATTTATAGTATTTAAAATATGTATGAGTATAATGATTATATTAATTATATTATTTAAATGATCATATGTACATACTTTCTAATAATTATTATTGATGAAAGTGATGATAGTAATCATGGTGAGCCAAACAAAGACAAATAGTGAGAATAATTGTAACGTCCTTGGTTCTGAACAGAAAACTCAGTAGGAGGAGATGGCATTGTTCTGAAAGCCTTCAATATTGCTAGTTTCTTAAATTTAAAAAATACATATAAATTTTTATATTCCAAATAAATTTTGTTTATGGCTCTTAGACTATGTTTTCCTGCCCAGTGTTCTTATTTATTGGCCTATGTTTCTGTTATTATCTATTTGACTCTACCTATATTCATAGTCTAGTCTCTGACTTTTAATAGCTCTGGCATTTTGACTTGCTAGTAAAGCAACTATTAAATTTTGGCTCCTGGGGATCTTTTGGTAAGTCTGAAGACGTTCATCCCCTCTCCCAAGATGGGGGGAGCTATTGTGGACCTAATCCCCACCGCTTCCAATGATAAGAAAATCCATCACCCATTTTTAATGATGTGCTTTTTCCAGATGCACAATTCCAATATTAATAAAAATAACTCACATTTCTCAGGAGGCCTTGATAGATAGTGCACTCATTTTTTTTCACATTTAGTTGGAGAGCTTTTGTTCTTGTAAATCTTTATCTCTCTCTCTCTCTCTCTCTCTCTCTCTCTCTCTCTCTCTCTCTCTCTCTCTCTCTCTCTCTCTCTTTCTAATTTGTTGCAGGTGTTGTTGCTAATGAGCACTCTCTCCTCCCTTCTTACAATGAAAGACAAGCCAGACCCCAGGTACCTGGATGGATTGGTAGCTGAAGCTTCAGAAACTTCATAATAAGTTGCCTGTGGCTAGAAACCAAGGTCAGCTGGTCTCCTATTAGTGCCTATCCCCTCTTAAAGTAGAGCAAAACAACCCATCCCCTGATCAACACCTCAGTGGCTTTTTATTTTTTCAAATGAATCACAAGTTAGCTGTCACTTTAAACCCATATGAAAGTCTTTCTATTTTTTTGGTTCAAAACATTACATTCAGTCCCAAAGAGGAATATGTTTCCAGCTAACATGTACACTACCTGACTTTATTTTATTTTATTTCTAATTCAGGCCTGGGGGGTTCATTTTAAGTTCTTTCCAGCATACCACACCGTAAGGACGCTTTAAACCCTTCATTGATTGGAAGGACAAAAATTAAAAGCAATCTGATCCAGCTTCATGCAAGATCCCTGTGGGTTTTCTCCCTATCCCATTTCAAAATCCTGTCACCATTTGAAAGTGTGCCCAATTTCATCAGCTTCACCTGTAGGAAAAGTTACCCACTTTGCTATGCCAAGAATAGTGGAGTGTGAAGTTATGGACGACTTTTTGATTTGCCGGTCAACAGTGTGAGAAGCACTCACTCTGAGTTTTCCATATCAGCTGGCCAGACTTGCCTTCTGGACAAAGAGGCTCCTTCTTGCCTACAAACCAGTGGTCCTTGGGTATCTGGAATGTCCCTGGCCACTCCTGTTTGGTAGATGTGGCATCTCCATGTTGAGCCCATCATTTACTCCTAACCCAGACGCTGCCTTTCCAGGGCCTCTTGAGGCCCGGAGTCCAGGGCCTCCACCTGCTGTCATGCTGCTCCTGGCGTCCCTTCTGTTGCACTGCCTCCCACTGGCCATGGCAGACTATGACATTTGCAAATCCTGGGTGACCACGGATGAGGGCCCATCCTGGGAGTTCTATGCCTGCCAGCCCAAGGCCATGAGCATGAAGGACTATGTCACAGTGAAGGTGGAGCCCACTGGCATCACCTGCGGAGATCCCCCAGAGAGATTCTGCACTCATGTAAGTGGATGTCTTTCTTCCATTTGGTCCATTTGAAATAAAAACCTGAGGGTGGATGAACAGGGTGGAACAAATCCCCAAAGGGGTGATGCTACTAGGGGAGTTTCCAGGTTTTCAGTTCACTGTTGTCCTTTTCCTTCTCTGACCTCCCTCACCCTTGAAAATGTGCAAAAGTGCAGGTTACACACCAGACCATAACACACAGAGTAGGGTAACTAAGTGAAAACTAGATCGGAAGCCAATGGGCACTAGGACTCCTTAATCCCCTATGGTAATCATCATATCCCTTACCCTTCTTTCCTCCTCATCTCTCCCATTGCCAGTGCTCCTTTTTCAGTTCCATTCAACTTGATGACATTAGAATGCTCCTCTGGCCTAAGGCATTGTTCTAGAGTGAGCAGACAAGAGTCTGTTTGCAAGGTTTAGGAAACTGTCCAGTCCTCCCTCCTAGATATGCACCCTCCATGATCTAGAGAAGTAGTCCTCTGAGGGCAACTTGGGAGGGTCCAAATGACCCTGCACTCATTGCCTTTTGGAATCATAGGATCTTAGATGTAAGCTGAAAGAGAACTCACAAATTAATTAGTTCAACCTCTTTCATTTTACAGTTGAAGAAAATGAGGCCCAGAAAGGTTACATTATTTGTTCAAGGTCACACGGGTAGTCAGTAGTGAAACCATAATTGAAACCCAGGTCTGCAGTCTCCAAATCCAGCTCTCAGTTCATAATATCATACAATGATCAGAATAAATGGAAACAGTAGAACTGCTTTTTATTAGATATTAATGAGAAGTGGGCTGTTTTTTTTCCCTCCAAATCCATGATTTCATTAGTATAAAGAACTTCAAATGATGAAACTGGGAATAGTAGATAAGGCAACTGGAGGTGGAATCACAAAGACCTGGGTTCATTCATACCCTGCCTCAGATACTTTCTAGCTGTGTTATCCTGAGCAAGTCGATAAACCACCCTGTGCCTCAGTTTCCTTATTTGCAAAATCAGAGAGTTGGAGTAAATGGCCTAAGGTCCCTTCCAACTTTAATGATCCTACTATTGTGGCAATTGTACTTCAAGCTATAGCCTTAGAGAGTTGCCCCGGGGGCACCAAGATGTTAAGTTACTTGCTCAAGGTCAGACAGCTAGTATTTTTCAGAGACCAAGGAGCACTTAAACTCAAGTCCTTGGGATTCTCTCCCACCACTTCAAACAGCCTTATATTAGTAAAGAATAGCCTGACAAAATTATGAACAATAATACTCACCTGACATTTGTATGGTATTCTATAACATCAACCATTTTCACATAAATTCTCTCGGTGGCTATTGTAACAATCCAGTGAGTTAAGAGAGGGCAGGGATTATTATGTCCATTTGGACTTGAGAAAACTAAGGCTTATAGAGACTAAATTTCTACCTATGATCATGTGATTAGTAAATGGTAGACCCAGGAATAAAAATCCAGGTATTTTTGACTCCTGTTAGAATGCTGTTTCCTCCATAGCTGATTCTCTAAGAAATCAGCCAGTAGATCCAGGCATACTTGAGTTTCTTCCCTAAGTTGTGATGCAAATCTTTTGTGACCTTGCAAAGGTCTTTCTGTTTCTTGGTTGAAAATAGAGATGCATTTGTTGATCCACACACATACATGCACAGTTACATGTGGCTGCTTCGGTTTCTGGCACATAGAGATCCATCCAAGAGAACACATGGATGCAGGGAAGCCTTCCCCGTGCCTAGAGGTGGCTGAGAAGGTCACCTGAGAGCTCAGGAATGGGGAGAGGGTGCAGTGCTTTCAGGGCAATGTTGATGAAGGCCTTGGTGTCCAAGCTTTTTCAGGGCAGGAGAGGGTACAGAAAGTCCAGAATGAGAGTACCTCACAGGTGGCATCCCTCTTCCTAGCCTGTGAAAGAACTACTCTTCACCCTCCAAAATGAACGACAGCCACTAGCTCTTATATTTAAAACCTCGAATGTATTTTTTTCTTTTAAATATTAATCATTGCCTTTTATTTGGCATGCCGCAAGGCTTGTTTTGGTGGGGGAGGGGAAATGGCTGATTCATAATTCAAAAGACCCACTTTTGTTTAAAGAGCTTCAGGGGTCAGAGACAACCATAAAAGCCAAGTCAGAAGTCCTCCCCCATCTATATCCAGTTCAGAATACTAACCTCCTTCTCCTCTGACCCCATACCCCCTTCCGTCCCCTTGTTGGAGCCCTGGTCCTGAGACTAGCAGATCATGAACCAGGCATTAGGAGCCACTGGCTGTGATGGGCTAAACTTGGCACTGGGCAGAATCTCTTCACCTCTCCTCCACCAACTCATCCTAGTTAGTATCCCCTTTCCTCTTCCCCAGGCCCCACCCTCACCTCCACTGTGAGCGAGGACAGGTGGTGGGCAGAATAAACTAGGAGCACTTCTAAGGTCTCTGTTGCAGGCGGCATCTTAGCACCCTTCCACCTGTTGGGCTGCCTTAAATATTTTATCATGGGCTGCCAACTTGCCCTTGGCCTTTGATTACAAATGTGCAGCCTGCAAGAATGAGACTGTCTGGCTTGGTGGGGAGAGTGGCTTTGCGGTGGTGGAGACCACCCTTTGAGGACTTGGCTTCCCCAGGGGTGAAGGGACTCTTCAAGCTATGTCTGCTTTCTTCAAATCCAAAGATGTTTCTAATAAGGGTCAGGGCTGCCCCCCTAACAACAATGGGTCTTGTGCAACTAAAAATGTGACAACCCCATCTTCCCTCAAACCAAAGCCAACCTGTCCCCTGCCATGAAAAACTCATGCAGCAAGTGACCATCCATACTCTGAGCATTATGTTTCTACCGATCTAGCTACACAACCGAAACTCTGAGTTCTAAAACCTGCTTTAGGATGGCAGGCTAGGGCATGCAGAGAGGAACAAAGAAGTCTGTTGCCTTTTTCAGGGGCCTGGGGTGAGAATTCTCCCTCTCCAGCTGGCTCTTTCCTTCTTATTGTTCACATCAACGCCCTTCTGGCAAGGCCACCTGAGAAATGAATTGTAAATTTCACTCTGGTGAGGAAGGGGAGGGGGAAGATAGACAAGATAAATGAATAAATAAAAACCTGGATGGTTCTAAATGCACAATGAGAATTAATAGGGAAGAGCTCTCAACCAAGGATGCTTGGGCAAGGGTGAAATTTGAATGAGAGCTGCAGAGCTTCAGAAGTGGTGTCATGCCACCTTCTCAGCTTGGGGGAAATATGCAGCACCAGGAGCTACTATTCTTGGTCTATGGACTGGGGTGGGGATGAAGACAGGGAGTAGATGTTACCAATAGACATCACTGCACTTTCAGCCTCCCTTTGTGAAGGGTGGGAGATGGCTTGGCATAGTAAGTAATTAGGCAGTTCTCTGCAAGGAAGAAAGGTTACCAGCCAGCTACCTGTGCTGCTTATAAAAAAGGAGGAATAAACTTTCTTTGTGCCTTGGAGACAATAACTAACCTGAGGAAAGGGATAGTGGAGAGAAGGTAAAAGCCAGTGGCCAGAACTATCCTCTATGTCCCTTTGTCAGTATCCTCATTACCTCAGTATCTGAGAGACAGCTTAGCATAGTGGACAGAATACTGAACTTGGAGTCAGGAAGAGCCGAGTTCAAATAATACCTTGGGTCCTAAATGGTTGTGTGATTTTGGCCAAGGCACTTCAGTTGATTTCAGTTTCCTCATCTATAAAATAGAGATAATAATAGCACCTGTCTGTCACAGGGGTGTTGAGAGGATCAAAGGAGATAAATATATGGATAGTGCTTTGCAAACCTTCCAATGCTGTATAAATGCTAGCTATTGTTATTTATGACCATTGCAAGGCTGGAGTGAGGTGGTAGGGCTGCAAATCCATTTCTCTCATTTGATAGGAGCAAGTTAAGGTATTTGGAAGGACACGGAGGGATTTTATGTGTATATGTATATACACATGTGATCACATGTATGATCATATAGAAAAATCCCATATAGCTATCATTATGTATATGATATGTAGGACGTGTGTATATACTATGTATGCATATACACATGTGCAGGTATATAGTATATATGTGTGTACATGTGTATAGGTATATATGCAATATGTATAGGCATATACTATACATGTATATATATGCATAGGTATATACTATGTATATATGCACATATGTATAGGTATATGCTATGTATATATGTATATAGGCTACATGTATACACACATTTATATGCACATATATTTCAGTTGTTCACTCATTTTTTCAGTCCTGTCCAACTCTTCCTGACACCATTTGGGGTTTTCTTGGCAAAGAATCTGAAGTGCTTTGCCATTTCCTTCCCCAGCTCATTTTACAAATGAGGAAACAGGGTAAAGTGACTTGCTAGGGTCACACAGCTAGTAACTGTCTGAGACCAGATTTGAACTCAAGAAGATGGGTCTTCTTGACTCCAGGCCTGACACTCTATCTACTGTGCCACCTAGCTGCCTCTATGTATACATATACATATACACAAACACACATGTGTATGCATTTCTCTTTAGATATATCTATATATTTATATATAAAGGCAATGCGATTCAGTGGGGAAAGAAAAGTTGAGTTCCAGGGCTGGTTCTGCCACTTAAAACCTGTGGAAACTTGGGCAAGCTGTCTTCAGTCTCTGGGCTTCAGTTTCTTCATGTATAAAAGAAGGGTTTGGGACTAGAGCAGAGGTGCCAAACATGTGGTCCCACATTACAGCCCCAAATATGCTAAAGTATGGCCAAACTGGATTAAAATGTAATTGGGAAATATTTTTTAAAACAAATAAAAAATACAATAAAATACAGGTACTACTAATATGTGGTTTTCTAAGTCATCATGTGCCCATAAGGACCCTCATGTATGGTTTAGTGGCCCTCCGGTCTATTTAAGTTGGACACCATTGGATTAGAGGACGTCTGAGGACCTTTCCAGCTCTAAAGCTATAATTTCCTGATTTCTGAGGCATCAGCAATGCTTTCATAAGTCTTGGAGCA